AAAATTAAGTGTGCTTTGCAGAGAAGTTTAAGTATTGAGTGTGCCTTTTTAAACTTCTAGAAACAAGGCATGTACCTGTTTTAACCCCACCACAAAATGTTAATTTAGAAATTGTTTTCATCTTTTGAATTTCATGCACGTGTTATTCTTGTTTGATAACTTTCCTGTCTCGTGTTTATAATTGGCACATTCTCTTCCCTCTTCTGAGGACAGTGATTGGTTGTATGATGCTGTAGTCTCAAAGTAATTCTAGACAGGTTTGTCTATTAAATATTAAACATTACTATCCTACCAGCACTTAAGTATTAGTACTGGGTACTGTTTTGTTTTGTTTTGTTTTTTTAATTTAGGTTCTACCATTTATTGTAGCAAATTGTAAACTAAACTAGGAAATTGTTTTGTATCTTGGCAGATAAATATTTGTTGAATGAGGTACCTGTGAAACAAAGGTAGAAAACATGGGGCTAATATTAGTTGGGCTAATAGCTATAAAAACTGATGTGTTTACATAATAGAATAGAAGTGAGCAGCGTGGTTAGTTGGTGTTAGACTAATTGGGATGTCTAAATGCGAACTGGCCCTGCCACCACTTAGCTCTGTGAACTTAGCCAAGCCATTCAGTCTGTTTGGGCCTGTTTGAAAACAATGGGATTTGATTAAAAAAAAAAAATCCAACAAAACTACAGAAAAACCTTTATTCAGACTGCCTGAAATCTAGTTGAACACAAGTCCTACAACTAAAGATAAAAAGAATAGGTCACAGCAAGACTGGTAGGAGGGAGATTCGGAACTGGCAGGTCCCACATCCATGGGATGGTGGCTAAAAATTGGGAGGGATATCTCAGCTGCGGAGGTCCCTGCTGAAGATAGAGGTGTCCCAGTCCCTCAACAGGCCCCCAGTCCAGGGTTCCAGTGCCAGGAAGAGAAGGCCCCGTAATTCCTGGCTGTAAAAACCAGCTGGGACTGTAGCTGAGTGAGCCAGAGGGCTGCTGGCATCCAGCCATTCCTCTAACAGGCCCTGCACATGGATTTCACTCCCTCTGAGCCCCAGCACTGGGGCAGCAACTTGAAAGGCACAAGAGGTCTATGGGGAGGAACGGAATTATTTGGGCATCAGGGAAAGAGCTGAGGGCCAGCTTTCTGTTAGAAATGCTAGCAGAGGCCATTATTCCTTTGATGAGCCCTTTCCCCACAGAACTGGCAGGTGGCCACAGCCGAGTCTCCATCAACTTGGTTATCACTGTTTGCCCTGCCTTGGTGATTCCCCGAGACCCTGTCCCACCGGACTTTCAAGCCCACCCAAGCTGTTTGCAGTAGCTTTTCCATACAAATGGCTTCTCTTGGATATTTCAGGCTTTCTTAAAACATCTCCAATAAGCAGCATCTGGCTATGGCATGTTCTGTACCTCTTGCTAAGGGGCCCCAGGCCCAGCACTAGTGGCAGCTGGCCTTGGTTCACTGCTTGGCCTCTTCTGGGTACCTCCGAGCTAGGAACAATCTTCAGATCACTTTGTGACTCAAGCTCGGTGGCCCTGGGCAGAACACAGGCAGTGGCTGACCTTGGCCTCACTTCCTGGGAGACCCTGAAGCCAGCACACCCAGAAGACAGCTTCAGACCATGTCAAAGCACCACCCAACTGCTCCACAGGCAACATACTCCGGGGAAGACTCAGTAGGTACCAGAGTCCCACTGAAGTAAGTCGTGCTCTGCAGGGTGGGCCCCTGCACAGCTCATCCTCCACCGTGGTCACAGCCAGTTTTTGCAGCTGATTGGCCTGGGGGAACATCCCTCAAATTGATGTGCAAATAGCAACCCCAAGGCTCAACTCCAAGAGGAGGGTATACTCAGCCCACGTGGAGAGTGAGGGTGTGTCTGGAGCACCCCGCTCCGGCGAACAGGGAGGATGAGCCACTGCACCCCATAGGACACCTACTACCTTAGGTCACTGTATCAAGCCTAGGAGAAGTAGCAGCATAGAAAAACTACCAAAAAAACCCCCACACAAAACAAACAAACAAATACACACACACACACACACACACACAACACAGGGAGACTGCCAAAATGAGGAGACAAAGAAATGTATCTTAAATGAAAGAACAGAACAAAACTCCAGAAAAAAGAACTAAACAAAATGGAGACAAGCAATCTCCATTTTGCAGAGTTTAAAACACTGGTTACAAGGATGCTCAATGAACTTAGGGGAAGAGTAGGTAAATGTAGAACTTCAACAGCATAGAAAAGGACATGGAAACCATAAAAAAAGAATTAGTAATGGATACACTAACTAAAAAAAGAATAATTGACAAAGAGTCAACAATAGAGTAGATGAAGCCAGGAACCAAAATGGTGATTTGGGATATAAGGAAGGAAAAAATATCCAATCAGAAAAGAAACAGAAAAAATAATTTAAAAAAATGAGATAGTATAAGGAGCCTATGGGACAACTTCTAGTGTACCAACATTTGCTCCATGGGGTGCTAGAAGGAGGAGAGAGAGGGGAAGAAATTGAAAACCTATTTGAAAAAAGTAATGACAGTAAACTTCCTTTTCTGGTGAAGGAAATAGATTTTTAGTCCAGGAAGCACAGAGAGCCCCCAACAAGATGAACCCAAAAAGGCTCATACCAAGATACAACATAATTAAGATACAAAAGGTTAAAGACAGAGAATCTTAAAAACAGCAAGAGAAAAGCTGTTAGCTACCTCCACATAGCTCTCATAAGACTATCAGTTAATTTCTCAACAGAAACTTTGCAGACCAAAAGGGATTGGCAAGAAATATTCAAAGTAATGAAAAGCAAGGATCTACAACCAAGATTACTCTGTGTAGCAAAGCTTCATTTAGATAATTTAGAAGTGAAAGATATATAAAGAGCTTCCCAGACAATAAAAAATTAAAGGAGTTCATCCCTACCAAACCAGTATTACTGAAGTGTTATAATCTTTAAGAAAAGGAGAAAACACACACACACACACACACACACACACACACACACACACACCTATAAACAACAAATGACAATAAATACATATTTATGAACAGTTGAATCTATAAAACAGTCCCCAGTCAGGTAGCTTAGTTGGTTAGAGGTTCACCAAGGTTACAGATTCAATTGTCAGAGCACATGCAAGAATCAACCAGTGAGCTTGGCCGGGTGGCTTGGTTGAGCATCATTGCATGAACAAGCGGGTCACGGGTTTGATTCCCAGTTAGGGCATATGCCTAGGTTTGTGAGCTCGATCCCTAATACAGGGAACACAGGAAGCAGCTGATCCTTATTTCTCTCTCATCAATGTTTCTATCTCTCCCTCTCCCTTCCTCTCTCTGAAATTGATTTTTAAAAAATACATTTTTTAAATTAAGGAGGCTACAATAAAAAAATTTACTATAAAAGGGCTGAACTAGGGAATTTTCAGAAGTAAAATGCTTAGTATAAATAAAAAACAATCCTTAGGAATAAAAAGGGACCTAGTCAGTTTGGCTCAGTGGATAGACCATCAGCCCATGAACTGAAGGCTCTTGAATTCTAATAAGGTCAAGACAAGAGCATGTACCTAGGTTGCAGGCTCCATCCCAGGTACTGGTTGGAGCACTTGCAGGATGCAGCCAGTTGATATGTCTTTATCACATTGATGTTTCTCTCTTTGTCACTCCCCCTCCCTTCCACTCTCTTTAAAAATCAATGGAAAAATATCCTGGGGCGAGGATTAGCTGAGGAGGGGGAAATTAACCAATGAGTGCATAAATCAGTGGAGCAACAAATCTGTGTCTCTCTCCCTCCCTCTCTCATTTTCTTTCTTCCTCCCTTTTCCCCTCCTTTACTCTTTCTCTGTCTCTAAAATCAACAAGAATAAAATAAATAAATGAAAAGCAGAACAGAACAGATTTATAGATACAGAGAACATTTTGAAGGCTGCCAGATGGGACGGGGTTGGGGGTTGGGTGAAAAAGATGAAGGGTTTAAAAAGTACAAATTGGTAGTAACAGAATGGTCATGGGGATGTAAAGTACAGAACAGGGAATATAGTCAATATTCTAATAACTGTGGTGTCAGGTGGGTATAAGATTTATCCGGATAATCACTTAGTAAGTTATATAATCTAATCACTTTGGTGTACACCTGAAACTAATATAATATTGTATGTCAACTGTAATTGAGTAATAAAAATGATTTAAAAAAGAAAACAAAGGGGCTTGTCTAATTGGTCTCAAAAACCCTCTCCATGTTTACAATTGCCATTTTGTTATTTTACCAGGGGATGTAAGTATACCATTAAATACAATATTGTCAGTGTCAGTGTGATTGTCTTAATGGTTGAAAATCCTCTCTTTTATGATCTTAGGCAGTCAGTAGAGTGGCAGTTATACGCAGTAGTTGTAATAACATTTCATTTTCAAAAGAAATAGGAATTTGTTTGATGGATGAGCATTCATAATAGAAGAGATTTAGTCTCTCTTTAATACTCCATTCTGTCATTATCAGTGTTCTTATTTATGAAATGCTGCTTCTTCAAGAGGATCTAGCATTAGAATCCTAAACCATTATATAATAGATACCTTGGGCTAATTTATAAGCTATAAACCAATCCAATACAATAAAAGGCTAATATGCAACTCGACTAAACGTTGGAACGACCAGTCACTATGACAGTCATTGACCATCAGGGGTCAGCTGACCACCAGGGGTCAGCTCCACAGGAACTGCCCCCTGGTGGTCAGTGCACTCCCACTTGGGGAGTGCCACTCAGCCAGCAGCTGAGCTCATGGTTGGTGAGGGCAGTGGTGGTGGCGGGAGCCTTTCCCACCTCTGCGGCAGCACTAAGGATGTTCTACTGATGGCTTAGGCCTGCTCTCCGGGAGAGGGGAGGGGGCCTGAGTTGACAGTTGGACATCCCCTGAGGGCTCCCAGACTGCAAGAGGGTGCAGGCTGGGCTGAGGGGACTCTCTCCCCTCCCCTCTCCCCGCAAGTGCATGAATTTCAAGTGCACTGGGCCTCTAGTGGATAATAAAACATGATCTCAAATGTGTTCTAGAAGTATCTTCTTTTTTGATCCTGTTTAACTTACCACAGTATTAATTTTCCTGGATTTAAAAACATCCCAGCTCTCTGTTCTCTGAGCTGTGTAATTTTTTGTTGCTGCTGTTAATCCTCGCCCAAGGATATTCTACTGATTTTTAGAAAGAGTGGAAGGGATGAGGAGAGACAGAAAGAGAGGGAAACATCATTTTGAGAGAGACACATTGATTGGTTGCCTCCTGCACTCGCCCTAACCAGCAGCCTAAGTCTATGACCTTGCCTGGAGCCAGATCTGAGACCCTTCAGTCCATGGACTAACACTCTATCCACTGAGCCAGACCTGCTAGGGCTGAGCTGTGTATGTAGAATGTGTGGTATAGGACACTCCACAGATGTTTCCACTGAGTTTTTCAGACTGGCATTCCTTCTAAGAAACAGCCCCATGAAACGTGGTGGTCACGTTTAAAAGGTGCCCTTTAAAAGGACCCATAACATGGTTATTTAAAAAAATAAAATAAAAGGACCCATAGGACAGTTTTCTGTCTAGTATTAGAATTGTTGAGCTCCTCCTGAACAGATGTGGGGTTCATTGTCCAGATAGTGAAGTGTATAGCCAGCAGGGGTTCTCCCCCTGCACTTGCTGCCAGGAAGATTAGGGTAAAATTTTAGACCCACCTTCTAAGAAAAATGTGAAAGACCTTATGATATGATAAGCATTTTATGTATTTGCTACACTCCTGGTTTTATCTACTCTACCTTCAATTTTTCCTCCACTTGTGTCATTGTTCATTTTTCTGTGATCATATTTTAATGAAACAAAGTTATACATAAATAAGGATTGTAAGAAAAATTTAAAACCAGCTCTTTGGTGTTTGAACAAATATATTATACTAAGTAGTTATGTGTCAAAGTGTGGAAAACCAATCTCTTTCTTGTTCAAGCAGTGTCCTTGGTGTTTTGCTCAGAAAAAGTGCCGAATTTTGATTGCATCGAATTGAATTGCTGTGAGAACTTCATTTTGATGCTGTCGCTCTTAAAAAAATGTGATGGTACCCAAGTTGTTCACTCTCCTCTCACCTTCCTTTTTTTCTTCTTAGTACCCTCACCTGCCCTAGATCTTCCTGTTACTTTGCTACCTCTACCATCCCTGCCTAAATTAAAATATAGTTTGGGACAACTGTCAAGACCTGTAAATCTTTTTATTCTGAGAGTTTCCTATTTCATTAACTCATAAATGGTGTTATTTATTTTTATTATTTTGTTGTCATTTGATTTTAAGTTATTTTTCTTTAGCTACAAGTTCATCATAAAGGGAATAGAAAGCATTGCATATAATTTTTTGTTTGGCAGCTCTTTTGGTGATCATTAATTTCTGTCTAGGATTTATAACATTGGTGAGAAATGATGTATAAACTCTACAATATATACAAAGCCCACTGAAGGTAATTTCTCCGAATAGATTTGAGAGCAAGAAATAGGCACCTATAAGGAACGGTGAAAAGGAAGGCAAAAGCTGGAACTAGAGTTGAAATACCTGTTGCTGTGAGCAGAAACAAAAAGTGACATAGGACATTAAACCTCATATCAAGAAACGGACAGATATACAAAGCTATATTGTGCCAAACTTTAGGGAAAAAAATCTGCAGGATTTTTTTTTAAAATAAATTATTATCTGTGTACATATCTTACCATTGGCCACCCCCCCCCCCCCATACATGCCCTTCCTCCCCAGAGTTTTGTGTCCATTGGTTGTACTTATATGCATGTATACAAGTCCTTCGGTTGATCTCTTATCTCCCCCAGATCTCCCTACCCTCCCTGCTGTAATTTGACTGTCTGCTTGTTGCTTTATTGTCTCTGTATCTATATTTTTGTTCATCAGTTTATAATGTTCTTTATTATCCATAAATGAGTGAGGTCATGTGGTGTTCCTCTTTCATTGACTGGCTTATTTCACTCAGCATGATGTTCTCCAATTCCATCCAGGTTGCTGCAAATGATAAGAATTCCTTTTTATGGCAGCATAATATTCCATCGTGTAGATGTACCATAGTTTTTTGATCCAATCATCTGCTGACGGGCACCTAGGCTGTTTCCAAATCCTAGCTATTGTAGATTGTGCTGCTATGAACATAGGGGTGCATATATTCTTTCTGATTGGTGTTTTAAAATCTGCAGGATTGACAAGGGTCAGCCCACAGTGTGAGTTCTACCTGAGGGTCTTAAGATTTCAAGATTGAGTAGATGGTTCAGTTTGTATAACTACAATGGGCACACGTGGTAATCCTATTATATTCAACTCCACTGGGAACTCTCAACTATTTGGTTGTGGTAAGAGTATTTTTATAATGAATGCATTGCTTAAATCACAGTCTTGGGGCCTAAAGATGAATTAGCTTATTTTCAACCTCTTAGGCATAACAGTAAATAATAAATCCCTGAACCTGACTGGAGGAAGGAGGAGGTATCATTCTTTTTGACAAATCCCTGTTGTTTCTCTGACCCTGTGTGCGTGCGTGCGTGCGTGTGTGTGTGTGTGTGTGTGTGTGTGTGTATGTTAATGTTCATGTTTGCCCGTCTTTTTTGCTAAACATTCTGTTTGTTTTGGGTGTAGCATTTCCCTCAGAGGCTGAGTAGGATATTTAAAAAGGGGATTTTCAAAGGTGTTGATAAATAATTGCTCTTTCTGCCAGTAATGCAGCTAGAGTACAGCATGCTTTTTTAGAGGGACTGGCAGTAATGTGACCATAAACCTGGAAAAAATTGGGTTCAGAAAATGTTTCACACAAACAGATCAACATAGCATTGGCTGACTAAGCCCTTGGTAGAGGATATGTGTCTTTAACATTTTATAATCTGAAAACTCATTTCTGCAACTCCCCTTTGGGAATCTTTCAGATAATAAAGCAAATTTTTACTTTTCAGGAGAAAGTACGGTTTCTTTTGACCTTGTACATACCCTGTTGTAGGTTTGTTAATAGTGAACCCAAGCTGAACAAGCTTTAGAACAAGCTACAGTTGATTCCAAAATCATGTTCTGGCCTCATCCCTCCAGTCACACTTTATGTTCCACGCCTTAGGCAACCCACAGTCGGTCATGCTGGGCTAATCCTCTCCCTATGGCTGGTCACGTATTTTCCTCCCTTCTTACCATTTACGGTGTTCCCAGGTAGCACTGTCTCCCTTCCATCACCTTTTTGAATTCCTTTCTTCTTCCAAGGCTGAGTGAGTTCTAGTACGCACTCACCCTCACCCTCACCCTCACCCTCACCCAGTTTTGATGAGGTCTCTGCGGGACTCTGCCAGCAGAATTAATTACACCTTCTTTATGAGTTCTCTTCAGGTCTTATGTTCTCAATTTCCTCTTCTCCACTTTATCTAGCCAGGGGATCACCTGAAGCAAAAAACTGAGATTTTTTTTTAAACGTTAACCAAAGTAATCATACATATTTTATTTTTTATAGAAAGAAAGCAGTAGTGTTAAATTATACGTTGGTTAATTGCTCTATTTCCACATCAGGATTTTTTGAAAGACATAATTTAATGAAAGAATTCTGTAAGGACAGCCTGTTGGATGAGTCTCTTCTTGCCTGTTTTAAAGTGTGGTCACATGGAAAGGCAGCACTTGTCTCCAGAGACAAGGGCTCCTCCAAAGGGGATTCTGGGAGTATTAGATCATCCTGGTTTTAGACTTGAGGTGCTGAATTGCCAAAAGTTATCTGTGTTAGTACTAAAAGCTTAATCATTAAAGCTTAAATAATTTAGAGCATTAATTTTAAAATCAATTATGAAAACGCTTATTTGTAAGATACAGCTTCTGGGCAAAATACAAAATTAATCTTTTGGAAATTAAACCCCCTGAAAGGGAAATAGATTTTGATTAGAAAACATATAAGTCTTTCCCTGTAATAATGCCTCGGTTTCCATGTAGAAGTGAAGCGTGAATGCAGACCTGTGGGGGAGGGGAAAGGCCCTGCCTAGGGTTCCACAGGTCCTCTGGGCTTGCGAGGCACATGCGGCTCTTTGGCCCCTTGAGTGTGGCTCTTCCACAGAATACCACGGCCCGGGCGAGTCTGTTTCGAAGTGGCATTAGAAGAAGTTTAAGTTTAAAAAATTTGGCTCTCAAAAGAAATTTCATTCGTTGTCCTGTTGATATTTGGCTCTGTTGACTAATGAGTTTGCCGACCACTGGACTAGGGTATTTATGTGGAGGCCTCGGGGAAGGATCCCAATAGAATATTCATCAGCTTCCCAGGTGTGTCCTTTCAGGGTCATGGCCTCTACTGGTTGATTGGCACCATGACGGGGGGGGGGGGGGGGGGGGGGGGGAGGAGAGGGGGGTGTCATTAGTCAGTGCAGCTGGTCCTGATGTCACCCATAGTGTCACTTGTTTGGTTTTGCTGCTTTTCTGGGCCAGAAGCTGAGGTTTTTGCCTTTTTATCTAAGCCCTGAGATCTTGGTGAAGGAGTTTTGGTGGCTCATGCTAAGCCTGAAAGCTTACTTCCAGTTGGCTCATGAGGATCAAATAAATATCAGATAATAAATAACTAGTAGAATTCAGAGAAAGGACATTATTATAAACTAGTGAGCTGGTGTATGGATTTGTGCACATTGGAAGGAAATTAATTAGAAGGTGGCTGGTGGGGCAGGACTGGGGTCGACATGCCTTGGGGAGCCAACCTCCCACGGTCCCTCCCCAGCCTGCTGCAGCTGGGGTGGCGCCGAGGCTTGAAAGGCATCTGCGGAGTGAGCGGGGTCTCTCCAGCAGGTGGGGTCCCTCGACCTGGCCTGCGGGGATCGGGCCAAAACTGGCTCTCCAACATCCTTCCAGGGGTCCCAGAGTGTGAGAGGGCAGCCCAGCGAGGAATTGGACTCCCTCCTCTCTGGTTTTGGGGTGCGTCACCCGAAATCCGCTGCTGCCAAGTCACTGCAGCTCGGCAGCTCCTGTGTTGAGCGTCTGCCCCCTGGTGGTCAGTGACATCATGTGACCGGTCAGACAGTGTGCAGGACACTTCTCATATTAGCCTTTTTATATAGACTAGAGGCCCGGTGCATGAAATTCGTGCATGGGGAGTGGGTAGGGAGGGAGTGTGACCCTCAGCCCACCCTGCCCCCTCTCCAATCTGGGACATCCCTCTCACAGTCCAGGGCTGCTGGCTCCCAACTGCTCGCCTACCTGCCTTCCTGGTTGCCCCTAACTGCTTTTGCCTGCCAGCCTGATCACCACCCTAACCACTCCTCTGCCAGCCTGATTGCTCCTAACTGCCCTCCCCTGCAGTCCTGGTCCCCCCAAATGCTCTCCCCTGCATACCTGGGTACCCCCCACCCCCCAACTGCCCTTCCCTGCAGACCCAGATGCCTACAATTTCCCTCCTCTGCCAGCCTGGTCACCCCTACCTGCCCTCCCTTGCAGGCATGATCGCCCACAACTGCCCTCCCTTGCAGGCCTGGTCCCTCCCAACTGCTCTCCCTGCTGGCTTGATTGTCCAAACTGCCCTCCCCTGCTGGCCATCTTGTGGTGGCATTCTTGTATCCACATGGGGGCAGCCATCTTTGCCCACATGGAGGCAGCCATCTTGTGTGTTGGAGTGATGGTCAATTTGCATATTACTCTTTTATTAGATAGGATAGAGGCCTGGTGCCTGGGTGGGGGCCGGCTGGTTTGCCCTGAAAGGTGTCCCAGATCAGGGTGGGGGTTCCCTTGGGGTGTGGGGCAGCCTGGGCGAGGGGCCTGTGGTGGTTTGCAGGCCGGCGACGTCCCCTTCGCCCCTGCTACCCAAGCAGAGGCCCTGGTATCTGGGATTTATTTATCTTCTATAATTGAAATTTTGTAGCCTTGAGCAGAGGCCAGGGCAGGCCAGGGTGGGCAGGAAGCTTGGCTTCCTCCATCGCTGGGACAACCCAAGTCTCTGGCTGGCTCCAGCTCCATGGCTGCCACCAGTTTAGTTGGGATTTATTTATCTTCTATAACTGAGACTTTGTAGCCTTGAGCAGAGGCCAGCGCCAGCCAGGATGGGTGGGAACTTGGCTTCCTCCATTGCTGGGGGAAACCCAAGCCTCCTGCTCTCTACAGCTTTGCTATTTTTGTTGGGTTAATTTGCATACTTGCTCCTGATTGGCTGGCGGGTGTGGCTT